AAATTAACTCTATCCCTGCCGAAACCAGGACAATGTGAAGAAAAGCATAAAACCTTCTTCCATCATTTGAAATTAGAAGGTAACAGCCCCAGTTGTCAGGCACTTATTTCTGGAAATCAGCACATGGATAGCTTGCAGAACATGCTGCCTCTTGCCCCAAACTGGAACATTAAACAATCCCTGGGTGGGAATGAGAGAGGGTGTTCAGAGTATAAGGAGATAAGACGGTGCCCTCAGGCAGTCTGAGGGGAAGCTGGGGCAGGGTGATACTGTTGAGATGTTGAAGAGGAGAGCTGAATGGTTTTAGGCAGCGGTCTGGAAATGCATGGGAGAATTGAAGGTCTGTGTATGGTGGCTCTACAGAACTAAAAAGCTCAAGTTACTGCAGTGCAGAAAAGGCAAAAGTTGTAAATTTCATTAATTCCATTGCATACCGAAAAAAACTTTTTTTTGATGGACTATGGATATATTAGATGGTAGCACAGTCTTCAACAACTAATAATATAAAAGACATAGGCACACTGCTTGAACTATTATATACATTATCATAACATCTGGGAATTTTAGGAATATGCAGCATGTACTGCATAAGTCACTGAACAAAACAGCAAACATCTGCTTCCATAAAAAAGTTTACAGCCTATGTGCACAATAAAGGGTTATATATGATACAGACACAATATAGAAAGGTGAACGAAATAAAAAGAGTAAAATACTTGTCTGCATAACAGGACCACTCTCCAAAAGAAAACATTCTCAGTTAAAGGAAAGGGAGAATTTGAAGGATTATGAAACAGAGTAATGATGTGGCTTTGAACAGACACAGGTGAAACTCCCCACAAAACCAAGAATCAGCATAGAGGTATTGAAAATTTAGCAAATGGCTAATGTAACTATAATCATCACATTCTCAAAATAAAATGTAAGATGATAGAATGGGGATAGTCCATGAAAGCCCTTCAGGTGAAGGCAAACAGTTTATATTTGATGTGATAGCAAGAAACCAACCTCTGGAAGAATGCAAGGAGAGAAGTGACAGGGTCAAAACTAACCCAGAAAACAATTCCCTACTTAAAATACATGATACGAGAAACTGTACTAATGCCTTTCATTTTCATACAGTATCCACAAGGTCTTTCATCTTTAACACTACAACAGGCATTAGCCTTTTATGCTTTGGAAATCTGGTGGGCCGCGCTGTAGTTTTCTTTTCTGAATTAGCCATTAAACATGCCAGCAGAAATACAGAAAGACAGGGGAGAAGCTGACTCTGTACCCTGCCAGTAACGGTTGGCTCCCAGCGTGTTTGGAAGTCCAGAAGAAACCAAGATGTGACAGCTGCTGCCTCTCTCAAGCTGCCATAGCTCATGAGTGCCCTGCTGTAAAATATTCAAGATCTGCCCATTTGCAGTCTTCAGTTCATCTTTCAGCTAACAGACCAACTACATCCGCCACCAAAGAAGCCTTTACCTCAACTGAAGAAGAAAAAGAACAAAATATGAACTGATGCAACAAAGTTCTGGATCTGAAAATGGCTGAGAGGGGCCCAGTCTGCCTTCTTTTTGTGTTGTTGTTTTCCATTAAGAGCTTCCAACCCGTTATGTGCTCTCAGAGGACAGTAAGCTAACAAGACCAATGCTGGAACCAGGCAATGATTCACAGCAAGGAAACTTGGTACGTTCTTTCAACCCCTTGTTTCATGTTTTTGAAGGTGAAGGGCATGTAATACATACACTTCCTCCTGAAAGGAGGGAAGCGGGTGGCAGGGAAGGGGCCTGGAAGGTCCAGCCAGTCTACAACCTCAGGGACCTGGAGAACTCCCATGGGGTTGCTAAAGCAGTTTCAAGCAGCTACCAGGCTCGCACGGCTAGTGTGCAGTGTCAGTGTCACTGGTCTTGCTTTGCTGTTTGTATAAGCCCAGCATTTAAAATCCTTAGGCTATTTTTTAATGTGCCATATTACAAAAACATCACAGTGGAGCAAAAATAACAACATAAAAATGACAATTTTCAAGTACTTTACCTTAATAAAATGAGACTTGAATAGAATTTTACAGGACAAAGACAAGATATTTGTTTGGTAGGCAGACCTATTCATTAAATTTTCAAGTTCTGTGATAACAGAAGGGCTACATCATAGCCCTTACCAT